AGAACTAGCGAACCTGATATTTAACTATATATTTCCAATTAGTAGTTAAATGACCTTGAACAAGTCATCTAACTTCTCTGTTCACTATTCATTTTAAAATGAAGATATTTATACTAGCTAATTTCTAAAGTATCTTCTACCTCTAAAATTCTATAATTTTATTTCACATTAGGACTCTTACTAATGTAGATTTACAGAAGTGAGATGGTTGATACATAAATCTATGTATTCTTTCCTCTAAGCTTTATCCTTTATATATGACAAAAAAGACATACATTATTCAGATTTTCTCTCTGAAATTCAGATGAAGTACTTAAGGTAACTTTTTTCATTCTTTTTCATCATTAAAAATTTTATCCTCATATTGATGGTGTTACATTGTTGATTTTGGAGCATATTGAGTCAGAGAATTGCTAAATTTAATGAGCTAGACTGTGTGTCTTCAAGGATAGGCTTTCCCTGTAACCATGGTAGTTGGCCTAGTGTAGGCACCAAATAATGACTGTTGAATCTGTTTGAATATATTACAGGCTATTTTAGTATAATTTTGATGTAAGGGAAGACAGAGGGTCATATACCTAGAACTGTAATTGGTGGCTTGGTTGTGAGAGCCATAAAGAGAGATACAATAAAGAGGGTCCATACTAACAAAACTTAGGATGGAAGATGGAATCATGGAAAGGATAGAGTTGGGCTGAAGAACAGGCTAACAGAACACCATTGGTACTAATCCAAAGAAATTAGAGCCAGAATCAAAGCCATGAGGAAAGCCTCCTGAGGAATGCTACTACATAGTATGTCTTCAGTCTTTAATCAGCTTTGTTAAGCTGTGATTTACACACAATAAGATGTACCCATTTTATATGTTTCGTTCAGTGAGTTACAATAAGTGAATACAATTGTATAAGCATTACATAACCATAATACAGAATATTTCCATCACCACCAAAAATCTTGCTGTCCTTTTGTAGTCAACCCCCAACCACAACCCCTGGCCATGGTCAACCATAAATTTGCATCACTGCAAATTACTTTTGCCCTTTTTAGAATTTCATATAAATGAGTCACATAGTATATGCTATTTTGTCTATAAACTTTTTTGCTCAGATTTTTAAAAATATTTATTGATGTTTTACCATGCATCAGCATTTCATTTCTTTTTATTGCTAAGTAGTATTCCATCATAAGGATATACCACAGTATATTTAGTAATTTACCAGTTGATGGGCATTTGGGTTATTTCCAGTTTCTGGTTGTTACAAATAAAACTCCCATGAATAAGCATTCATAAGTATTATGGATAAATGCTTTCAAATCTCTTGGGTATATACCTAAGAGTAGAATTTCTAGGTTATATGAAAGATTTTTATTATTTTTTGGAATAAGTTACCAAACTGTTACTCAAAGTGGCCCACTAGCAATGTTAAGAGCTCTATTTGCTCAAAATCCTGTCACTTGGTAGCATCAATTTTTATAATCTTAGCCATTCTAATAGGTATATACTAGTATCTCATTGTAGTTTTAATTGTAGCTCTCTAATAACTATGATGCTGAATGTCTTTTCATTTGCCCATTAGCCATTCATTTTTCTTTTTTTGTGAAATGGTGAGCCATTCAGATCTTTTTCCTCATGGATTGTCTTGCATTTATTGTGTTTTAGGAGTTCTATATATATTCTGGATGCAAAGCCGTTGTCAGATATATGTGTTGAGAATATTTTCTCCCATGATGTTGTTTGCCTTTTATTATTTTTATAGTATCTTTGGATGAACAATTTTAAATTTTGATAATATCCAGTTTATCCGTATTTTTCTTTTAAGGTTTGAGCTTTTTGTATCCTATCTAAGAACCTTTGCATGTCCTATCTGGGTGACATCAGTTGGTTAAGCTTCCAACTCTTGGTTTCAGCTAAGGTCATGATCTCAGTCAGGGTAGTAAGGTCGAGCCCCAAGTCTGCTGCTCTCCTCCTCCTCCCTATTTATTTATTTAAGAGAAAGAGAGAATGGGGGGAGGGGCAGAAGGAGATGGAGAAAGAATCTCAGAAGGAGCTGGAGAGAGAGACTCTCAAGCAGACTCCCCACTGAGTGCTGAGCCCCATATGGGGCTTGTCTTCCCTACCCTGATCATGACCTGAGGTGAAACCAAGAGTCAGAGGCTTAAATGACTGAGCCACCCAGGCATCCCAATAAATAAATCTTTAAAATTTAAAAAAAAAAAAAGGAAAGAAAGAAATCTTTGCATTTCCCTACCTGGCTACATTTTTCTCCCTTTTTCTTCTTGAATATTTATAACTGTCACTTTTATGACAGATCTGTGATCCATTTCTAGTTAAATATTTGGTGTGAAGTAGATAAGGGTAGATATTCACTTAAAAAGAATGCAGACGTCTTGTTCTAGAATTATTTCTTTTTGTTCCCATTGTCAAAGTCATTTGACCAAATATGAATGGATTTTCTTATGGACTGTATTCTGTTCCATTGATCTATCCTTCTGTCCTGTCCTATGTCAGTACCAGTTTTTGTTTTTTTTTTAAAGATTTTATTTGACAGAGAAAGACAGCAAGAGCAGGAACACAATCAGGGGGAGTGGGAGAGGGACAGCAGGCTTCCTGCTGAGCAGGGAGCCCAACATGGGACTCCATCCCAGGACCGTGGGATCATGACCTGAGCCGAAGGCAGACGCTTAATGACTGAGCCACCCAGGTGCCCCCTCAATACCAGTTTAAATTACTAGAGCTTTATAGTAAGTATAGAATTTCAGGAGTTTAGCTTTATTTATTTATTTTTTAAGATTTATTTATTTATTTGAGAGAGGGCATGCATGTGCATGAGTGGGGGTAGGGGCAGAGGGAGCAGGGAGAGAGAATCTCAAGTAGACTCCCCACTGAGCTTGAAGCCCATGGCCAGGCTCAATCTCATGACCCTGAGATCATGACCTGAGCCGAAATCAAGAGTTGGACACTTCAGTGACTGAGCCACCCAGCTGTACCTCACAGGTTTAACTTATTTAATTTCGTTTTTCCTTTTCAAAATTGTTTTGGTTTTCTAGGTCCTTTGTATTTCCATATAAATTTTAAAATCAGCTTGTCAGTTTCTAGCAAAAAAGCCTGTAGGAATTTTGCTTGAGATTGCATTGAATCCTTAGATTAGTTGGAAGCAAAGGATATGACCTTGGGTGGAGAGGCACTTAACTAACCACACACACTGCATTAAGTCCTTCCTTGAAAGAGGCTCTTAGTGGAGCATCTCCATGTTTTTGAGTTATAGTGGTTGATAGTGTTGTTCAGATCTTCTTTATTCATACTGGGAATTTTGGTGTGTATGTGTGTGTAATTACCGAGAAAAGTGGGTTAAAATCTCACATTATGACTTACTTGCTTTTTCCTTTTAATTCTATTAGTTTTTGCTTCATGTGTTTTGAAGCTTGTTATTAGGCACACATATTCATCTATAATGGCTATAACTTACTGATGTATTGACTCTTATCATTATGAAATGTCCTTCTGTAATGCTAGGAATAGTTCTTAAATAATTTATTTTTCCTGATACTAATTTGGCCTCTTCAGCTTTCTCATAGTTATTTTTCTCATAGCATATCTTTTCCCATTTTTTTACTTTTTAACCTATTTGTATCTTCATAGTTAAAGTGAGCTTCTTAGAGTTGATTCTGAATTACTTTAGGGAGAATATAGGAACTTTGTAACTCTTATCTTTAGGGAATGCTGGGTGAAGAGTACACAAAAACTCTTGTAATATTTTTTGTTCTCTATGAATCTAAAATTATTTCAGGAGTGTTAATAATTGCTTGTTCATGCATTGTTACAGTAGCTTCTTTTAAATTCTTGTCTGGGGGCACCTGGGTGGCTCAGTCAGTTAAGTGTCTGTGTTTCCTCAGATCATGATCCCAGGGTCCTGGGATTGAGCCCCACATTGGGCTCCCTGCTTCTGCCTTTGGCCCTCCCCTGCCTCATGCTCTCTCTTTCTTAAATAAATAAAATCTTAAAAAAAATAATAAATTCTTGTTTGGAGGTCAGTGGAGGACTTAGGTGGCTCAGTGGGTTAAGCGTCCAACTCTTGATTTTGGTTCAGGTCAGGATCTCAGGGTTTTGAGATTGGGCCCCACACTGGGCGTGGAGACTGCTTCAGATTCTCTCCCTTTTCCTCTGTTCCTTCCCACCTCTTCCTCTAAAAAACAATAACAACAACAACAAAAATTAAAATTCTTGTCTCATAATTCCAACACCTTGTCAACTCTGTGTTTTTGTCTATTGATTATCTTTACACATCCTAGTTGAGATTTTTCCTTTTTGTTGTTGTTTGGTATGAAGAATATACTCCTTTTGGATTATATCAAGGACATTTGGATATTATGAGACCTTTGTTCCTACTTAAATCTTCATTTTTAGAGAGGGAGGAAGGGTGCTGCCTCTTTGCTGACATTTGCCTCGCTTGGGGCAGGAGTGGTTCATGGCGCTCAGCCTCATTAGTATTTGTAGCTGTAGACCTGGATGGGAGGAAAGAGGGCCACTGTCTCTGTCCTCATTAATGCAGGGTAGGGATGGTCAGCAAGTCTCTGGTCCACACATTACATAACATCCAGTTAGTAGGGCTCCATCCTGCAGAGCTGCTATCTTCCTATTCTTTTGGTTGGAGAAAATGGGTTTTCCTTGGGGCTTCTGTTTGTTACTGCTCTCTACCTGTTGTGGTTCCAGGTTGTAAATTGTTATGGCAGCCAGGGTGAGATACATAAGTGGCAAAAGTCTCCAGTTGGGTTATCACTCAGGATCTGGGGTCTCTAGTCAGTTTGTCTATTTCCTTCACCTTCCAGAGTCTTACAGTAGTTAACTTTTTTCCTTTGGTCCAGGATTTATAGTTGTAATTAGCAGGCAGAAGACGGTGGAATGCATTTAACTCTATTTTGTCTGGAACAAGAAGTCTCATACTGATTTTTAATATATGTTTCTGTATTTTCTGATTTTATTTGCCCTGTTTGTTTTTCAGGCAAATGAAGATAAAACAATGTCTGCCAACCTAAAATACCTTTCCTTGGGAATTTTAGTCTTTCAGACTACCAGTTTGGTTCTAACAATGCGTTATTCTAGGACTTTAAAAGAGGAGGGTCCTCGTTATCTATCTTCTACAGCAGTGGTTGTTGCCGAACTTTTGAAAATAATGGCCTGCATTTTATTAGTCTACAAAGACAGCAGTAAGTTTTTTGGTTTTTTGTTTTTTAAGTCATTGCAGTTTATTTGATTGTTTTGGGGTTATTTACATATGACATATGTAAATATATATTGATAACTACACATTTGAACACTATTGCCTTATTTAATGTCGTAGTATTAAGAACATTTCAATATTTTCCATTTTCTTTTTTTTTTTTTAAGAGTTTATTTATCTGAGAGAGAGAGAGAGTGTGAGTGCATATACACAAGAGGCGGTGGGGAGGAGCAGAGGGAAAAGTGGACTCCCCCTAAGCAGGGAACCCGATGTGGGGCTTGATCCCAGGACCTTTTTCCTCACATGAGCCAAAAGCAGCCAAGCTTAGCAAGCTGAGCCACCCAGGTGCCCCCTATAGATTTCATTTTCTCAGGACAGTTTTAGTCCAGTAACAAACGTATTTTATTCTGATCTATATCATGATTCATGTCTTCTGGTTAATGCTAGAAGTATGAAATGTGGTTTCTTGCATTTATAATTGAGAATAAAAGTGAGTTCTATAATTCTGTAGTTTTAGAAATTTAAAGAAGTCATAATTAAAGTCAATGCTTTTTATTTTATTTGCTGCATTGATTAGTCCAGCAGTGACTAATTTGATATAGTTTAAAAAAAAAAAACAGTTTTATGAAGATATAATTCATGTACCATACAAGTCAGATTTTGTAGTGTACAATTTTGTGTTTTTTGGCTATATTACATTATTAACTGTTTGAAATTATAGTAAAATATATTTTTACACATACATGTATATCATAAATGTTATAAATTTAACCATTTTTAAGTGTAAATCATTGGTACTAATTATATTCACAGTGTTGTGCAACCATTAGCACCATCTTTTTCTAAAACTTCATCACATCAAACAGAAACTCTATAACCATTAAGCAATAACTCCCACTCTCCTTTACTTCAGCTCTTGGAAACTTCTAATCTACTTTCTGTCCCTATGAATTGGCATCTTCTAGATAGTCCATCTAAGTAGAATCATATAATGTTTCTCCTCCTATGTCTGGCTTATTTAACTTAATGTTTTCAAGGTTTATCCACGTTGTAACACATATCAGAACTGTATTTTTTTCTATGACTACATAATATTTCATTATATATATATATATATACATATATATATATATATATGTATGTGTTTGTATATATAACATTTTAGTCATTGATGTATTCATGGGCACTTGAGTTTTTTCCACCTTTTGGTTATGTGAATAATGCTATAATGAATAATACTGCAATAGAAGTATAAGTCTCTGCTCAAGTCCCTGCTTTTGTATCTTTTGGGTATATATTGTGGAGTGGAATTGTTTGGTCACATGATGATTCTGCATTTAACTTTTTGAAGAACCACCAGACTTCTCCACAGCAACTGCACCATTTTACATTCCCACCAGCACTGTTCAAGTGTTCAGATTTCCCTACATCCTCGTCAACACTTGTTATTTTCTGTTTGTTTTTTTAAATTATAGCACATCCTCACCAATCATTATTTTCCATTAAAAAAAAACAACATATAGCCATTCTAGTAGGTATTGTATCTTACTGTGGTTTTGATTTGATTTTCCCTAATGACTAATTATGTTGAGCATCTTTCCTTGTGCTTATTGACTGTTTTTATATCTTTAGAGAAATATCTGTTCAAGTCTGCTGCCCATTTTTTAATTAAGTTGTTGTAAATTTGGTATACTTTTGAAACTATCATGGTGGCCAATGTGACTGTAGCATATTGATCCGGGAGGAGAATCGAATTGGCATTCAGTAAGATAGCTTTGTAGGCTACAAATTTCACTATAAAAACAAAAAGAAATAATTGGAATGTTTAAAACATGTCCTATTTTACACATGGAAAGACCAATGCAGTACCAATACAGCAGAGAAGATGCAAGAATAGGTTCAGGAAGTCATGTTTGGAAGCTGTTGTACTAGTCCAGGCAAGAAGATGCTAGTGGCTTAGATTACATTGCTAGAGAAGAGATGATGTTTTTGAGTTGTTCTGTGCAGGGGAGGTAAATGCAAAACAACCTCCAAAGGCTGAAGGAGCTCTGAGACCAAAGAAAAAGGCTGACAGATGCAGCTTGGCAAAGGTGTCATGGATGGCTGCAAGAGGAGTAGATCTCTGCAGTTCTACCTCCCTTAAGACCTGCTTTTGTAGCCCCTTGAGGCTGGAGAGTACATGTTGAGGACCTATCCAAGAGGAAAAAAAATTTTTTAAAGATCTTATTTATTTGTTTGAGAGTGAGAGAGCACAAGAAGGGGAGCGGCAGAGGGAGGAGCAGACACCTGCTAAGCAGGGAGCCCAATGTGGGGCTCGATCCTAGGACCCCAATGTGAGCCAAAGGCATATATTTAACCAGCTGAGCCACCCAGGCACCCCCAAGAGGAAAATGTTTAGGAAAAGGTGTGGGTCAATCATATCTCCAAGACAAATCATGGACATTTTATTTCAAGGGGGTACTTAAGGATGTGGTTAAACAAAAGGAAAGTATGCGTGTGTGTGTGTGTGCGCACGCGAGCGCGTGCATTTGAGGGGGGGTGGAATCTATGCTCCAGAATGCTTCATATCTCAGAATGGTCATCATAGCAGATTTGTCCAAGATGGCATTGATTTGGTTCACACAGATGTTTTTTTAAACTATAGCTGACATGACTTGCTAGTAGATTAGGTATGTGATGGTCAAGGAAATAGAGAACCAGTCTGAGGAATAATTCCTACGTTTTTAGGTTAAATTACTGGGTGAGTGAGTACTGCAGTAAATGATATATGGAAGATAAGTTAAGGGGAAATTAAGGTTTCTCTTTGGGCCATGTTAAATTTGAGTTGCCCATAAGGCATTCAAATGGAAATGTTAAATAGTATGATGTATGAATATGGAGCTCAAGGATTTGTCATCTTATATATTGCTTTAAAGTCAAGGATTAGATGAAGTAATTTAGTATATACTGAGAAGAGAAGGACAAAGAATAAGCTCTGTAGCATTCCCAACATTTAGAGGTCAGATTAAGAAGAAGAATCAGCAAAATTAGACTGAGTTGGGGTGCCGAGGTGACTCAGTTGGTTAAGTGTCTGACAGTCTTTTGATTTTGGTTCGGGTCATGATCTCATGGGTTGTGAGATCAAGCCCAGCATCCAGCTCTGCTCCCAGTGTGGAGTCTGCTAGTCCTCCCTCTGCTCCTCCCCCCTCCACTGGCCACCCTTGAAATAAATAAATAAATCTTTAAAAAAAAAAAAGAATTTCACCTGTAAAACGGTCTAGATCTGGTGGTTTAAAAAAAAGAAGACTGAGTTACCAGTAACATAGAATAAAATTCACATAAATATGGGGCACCTCGATGGCTTAATGGGTTAAGTCTGCCTTCAGCTCAGGTCATGATCCTGGGGTCTTGGGATCAGCCAAAGGTAGGACTTGCTGCTCAACGGGGAGCCTGCTTCTCCTCTCTCTGCCCCTCCTTCCTGCTTGTACTCTTGCTCTTAAATAAATAAATGAAATCTTAAAAAAATAAAAGATAAATATATAAAAATATGTTTATATAAGTATTTACAAATATAGAAATATAGATCAACCTCACTAGCAATCAGAGAAATCAAATTAAAGCCACAGACTCACTTTCACTATCTTTAGATTGATGAAAATAAAAAGCCTAACAATAACAGGAAATGGAAGGGACATGCAACAAGACCTTCCCTAAACTGCTGGTGAGAAAAATATGAGATAGCATTAATTACTTAAAATTTTAGTTTAATTTTAAAAAAATTTTTAAGATTTTAGTTATTTATCTGTCAGAGAGAGAGAGAGAGAGCACAAGCAAGGAGAGCGGTATGCAAAGGGAGAAGGAGGCTCCCTGCTGAGCAGGGAGCCTGATGTGGGGCTGTATCTCAGGACCCTGGGATCATGATCTGAGCTGAAGGCAGATGCTTAACCCACTGAGTCACCCAGGCGTCCCTAATTTTAAAAAATGTTTAAATGAGGCATAAGAAAAAAATCTTTTGGTAACTTTTAGTTAATCTTATTTTACTATTATTATTTTAGGGTGAGGAAAAGGTAAATATCAGATATTAACCTTTAGTATATGTGCTGCGGAAGCGAGCACCCAGATATTAACCTTTAAACAGTATTTTCATTTTTAAAAGGTTTTCATAATGAAACTTTTCAGGTTTTATGTTGGGAGAGAAAATCATCTATGAAGTGTCATTGTTGGCCAAGTAGTAGGATTCCTTAGATTTCTCCTGTCTTTGGGGGTTTATGTATCTTTTATTTATTTATTTATTTTTTATTTTAAGTAGGCTCCATGCCCAATGTGGGGCTTGAACTCAGGACCATGAGATGGAGAGTCACATGTTCCACTGAGCCAAGCAGGGTTTATGTGTCACTTAATGTTCTCTGGATACTTTTTATGATTAATACTGTAGGTTGGCTAGCTCAGGTCCGTTTCCTACCCCTTTCTCCCTTTGTTGTTTCTAATGTGAAAAATATGAAAGAAAAGACTACATTGCTCAGGTCCTAGCTCTCTTGCTGCAAGGGGTAGTAGGTGAGCAACAAAATTCTGGTCTATGAGGACAATGCCTGAAGGTCACTATGTCCTCCTGTTCTTTCCTGTTGCCTAAAAACAAGAACCAGACAGAAGTGCAGCAATCATTTGGTGACTTTCTTGCAATAATCATGTAGATAATAGATGAGAAGCATGGAGGTATAAAGTCAATATATATGGAGAGCGTGCTTCGGTCCCTGATGCCATCACTGAGCTGCTGTAGCAGCTTTGGACCTGCACCTAGACCTGAGGGGATGAGACAGATCCCTTTGAGGTCTGAGCTCATGATAAAATAGAAGGCACAAAATACAAGCTTTTATAATGTTGCTACTATAGAATAAGAATACTCAACTGAAAAATTAATGCTTTGAGCTTTTGGTTATCATAAATGTGTGTGTGTGTGTGTGTGTGTGTGTGTGTGTGTGTACATAGGTAATCAATTTGCTTGTGTTCCCTAATAAAAGAATATAAGGATAGTGCTGTTCTTAATGTGCTACATTATAATATTTAACTTCGAAAAATTAGTATCATTAAAGGTATACTTTAGACCTAAAGGTATCTTAACATGTAGGACTGTTTCTGTTTTGTTTTTTTTAAAGATTTTATTTATTTATTTGACAGACAGAGATCACAAGTAGGCAAAGAGGCAGGCAGATAGAGAGGAAGAGAAGCAGGCTTCCCGCTGAGCAGAGAGCCCGAAGCGGGGCTCGGTCCCAGGACCCTGGGATCATGACCTGAGCCGAAGGCAGATGCTTAACTGACTGAGCCACCCAGGCGCCCCTGTTTCTGTTCTTTTATACGTGAGAAAAACACGCCTTGAGAGAGGGTATGTAACTTATTCAGAGTTACTTAATGATTTTACCCATTTCATGTTTTTACTAGAATGTAGTCTAAGAGCACTGAATCGAATACTACATGATGAAATACTTAATAAACCAATGGAAACGCTTAAACTTGCTATTCCATCAGGGATATATACTCTTCAGAATAATTTACTCTATGTGGCACTGTCAAATCTGGATGCAGCTACTTATCAGGTACTTAAAATATATTTCTAGTACTTCTTTTAAGAAAGAAAGAAACAAACAATAATATTAGCTGTTTTCTTTTTCAGGTCACATATCAGTTGAAAATTCTTACAACAGCATTATTTTCTGTGTCTATGCTTAGTAAAAAATTAGGTGTGTACCAGTGGCTCTCCCTAGTAATTTTGATGACAGGAGTTGCTTTTGTACAGGTAACTAAGATAAGTATACCTTTCATTTTTATCAGTTTCAAAACCTTACTTACTGTGCATAGAAAATATGTTGTTAATTGTTGAAGCAAATAAATGTTTATTCTCACAACTGACATATTTTTTTTTTTTTTTAAAGATTTTATTCATTTGACAGAGATCACAAGTAGGCAGAGAGGCAGGCAGAGAGAGAGAGGAGGAAGCAGGCTCCCTGCTGAGCAGAGAGCCCGATGCGGGGCTCTATCCCAGGACCCTGAGATCATGACCCGAGCCGAAGGCAGAGGCCTTAACCCACTGAGCCACCCAGGCGCCCCCTGACATATTTTTTGAAGGCTTCTTTTGAGCAATACTCTATTAGGGCTGCAACTGATAAATAAAAATCTAACTGATTTCACTTAGCCTTATACTCTCCACAGCCATCTATGTTGTTACAAATGGCAAGATTTCTTTCTTTTTTATGCTTGAGTAATATTCTGATATATATATGTCAACCATATGATTTCATTCATATATAGCATTTAAGAAACAAAACAAACAAATTAAAAAAGAGATAAACCAAAAAACAGATTTTTAATTATACAGAACAAACTGATGGTTACCAGAGAGGAGGCAGGTGGGGAGATGCGGGGAGTAGGTGAAGGAGATTAATAGTACACTTATCCTGAGCCCTGAATAATATACAGAATTGTTAAATTACTATATTTTATTCCTGAAACTAATATAGTACTGTATGTTAACTGCATTGTAATGTAAACAAGGAAATGAAAGAAAAGAAAAAGAAAAAGGAAAGGAAAGGAAAAGAGGAAAGAAGGAAGGAAGATTTAAAATAAATAAAAATCAAATTATCTGATAAACAATCTAGTTAGAGAAATAAGATACTGCATGTAAAGCAAATCTAATTTTCACTGGATGCCTGAGCATCTGAGATTATTAATCACTCCCTTCTTATTGTCTGTCAGCTTCCCTGATAACATTCTTTACTGGTTCTTCTCATCTTTCTAATGATTCCTTGTTGAGTTACTTCCTGGGGTCCTCTTCCTTGATGCCTGATATTGGGGTTGTTGGTAGGCTTGTTCTTTCCCTTAAATTATATCTTTATTTTTGGAGACTTTATCCATTCTGTAGGTTTTTATTAACACTTAAATGTTCATAGTTCCTTGGTCTATGTCATCACCTGTAATTTCAGATTTGTGTATCTAAATAAAAACCTGTTGGACATCTTAGCTTGGTTATTCAATAGGCCTTATAAACTGAGCATATCTAAAACTAAACTTTACCAAACCTGTTCTCGTTTCTGTTTTTTCTGTCAGTATTTACTCTGCCTGAGAGTTGGCCTAGATTTTTCCTGATACCTGTACATCTAATCTTCAGTCACTAAGACCTTGCTGAGTCTGCCTTTTTTTTTTTTTTATTTAAAGATTTTATTTATTTATTTGATATCTAGAGTGCTAGTGAGCAGGGGGAAGGGGCAGAGGGAGGAGCAGGTACCTGGCTAAGCAGGGAGCCCAACACAGTACTCGATCCCAGTACCTAGGATCATGACCTGAGATGAAGGCAGACACTTAACTGACTGAGCCACCCAGGTGTCCCCACTATGGTTTATCTAAAAACAAATCCAGTCATGTCAGTTTACTGCCATCCATAGTGTGGTATGTTTATCACTTCCCCCAGAGTGTGGTATGTCTCTCTAGAACAAATATTTTATTTTTAAACAATGCAAGCATTTTTTTAAGATTTTTAAGTCATCTCTACACCCATTGTGGGACTCGATCTTACAAAACCTTGAGATTAAGAGTTGCATGCTCTACCAACTGAGCCAGCTAGGTACCCCTTGAATAAATTTTTTTTAAAAAAGACTTTATTTACTTGAGAGAGAGCATGAGAGTGGGGAGGGACAGAGGGAGAAGCAGAGTCCCCGCTGAGTGGGGAGTCTGATGTGGGCCTCCATCCCAGGACTCCAGAGTCATGACCTGAGCCGAAGGCAGTCGTTTAACCAACTGAGCCATCTAGGTGCCCTGAATAAATATTTCTAATAGTTATTTTTTAAATGGGTTTTACAAAAATTTAACTGTCATTTCAAACCCGTATTTTCATAGATAATGCTAATAAGGGTAAGCTAAAATAGGTATTACATTTTAAAAAGTGAGGTGTTTTAAAATATCAAGTAATAAATAGTTCAGGTGGAACACAGATTTGACTAAAACCATGAAGATGATAGTTTCAGGAACACCGATCTATAGGATAAAGCCCACAATTGTTAACGTGATACCACATGGACCTTTCATAATTACCAACAATTCCAGACTCATTTTTGCTGCTCCAACAGTTCACACTTTGAATTTCTACAACTTATAGAAGGTATTTTGTGCATCTGTGCATTTATTCATTCTCTTTCTTTTTTTTTAGGGAATTTTTTGAAATTGTAAGTTGTAACGGTAATATTACAATGGGAAAAAAATAAAATGATTCTAAGGTTTTCTTTCAAAAGCTCTCCTGCAAACCCCAAGAATGATATTGGCTCCATTTTTATCTTAAGGTCTGAAAGTGGGCTCTAATTATGCACTTTGTAAAATATCATAAGGACTAAACTCCAGTTTTGTTTTTCTTTTTGTTCAGTGGCCCTCAGATTCTCAAGAGCTTGATCCTAAGGAACTTTCAGCTGGTTCTCAGTTTGTAGGTCTCATGGCAGTTCTCACAGCATGTTTTTCAAGTGGCTTTGCTGGAGTTTACTTTGAGAAAATCTTAAAAGAAACCAAACAGTCAGTGTGGATAAGAAATATTCAGCTTGGTAAGATAAGTTTTAAATGCTTTCTAATACTATTTTTTTTAATGATTTTATTGTTATTTAAAGATTACTATATATCTTTAAACAAATAAGCTTCCCATAATTCTGCCATTGATACAAATATCTGCCAAGGTTTTTGCCTTTTAAAACATTGTATTTTTTTTTTTAAGATGTTATTTATTTATTTGACAGGCAGAGATCACAAGTAGGCAGAGAGGCAGGCAGAGAGAGAGAGGAGGAAGCAGGCTCCCTACTGAGTAGAGAGCCCGCTGCACTGCTGCACGATCCCAGGACCCTGGGATCATGACCTGAGCCGAAGGCAGAGGCTTTAACCCACTGAGCTACCCAGGCGCCCCTAAAACATTGTATTTTAAATGAATGTCTTTTATTCAAGAAATGGAATTTTAGGTCTGTGACATAAGGGTGTATGTAGCCGGTATTAGTCCTCACTATTTGGAAACTTAGGAACTATATTTTTGGTTGCTACAATTCTCAGAGGATGTTACAAATGACATATTTTAATTAAATGACATAATTTTAAAATACTGTTAAATTTCAGTGATACATGTTATTGTTATTACCATGTTACCTAACAATGATGTACTCTAAATATCTTACAGTTTTACTTGTCAGTTTTACCTCAGTAAAGCTGGAAAAAGGAAAAAAAGATACTTGAATGGAGAAAGTTTGAAATCATGAAATTTTCATCTTTGTTTTAAAATCTTAATCTTCATGGGGAGGTTATGTGCTATGGTGAGGGCTGTGAAATGTGTAAGCCTGATGATTCACAGACCTGTACCCCTGAGCAAATGATAGATTACATGTTAATAAAAAAAATCTTAATATCTCTTTTTATTTCAAAATGTTGTTTTAGCTTTTAAATACTATGTCATTTTTTCTAACTGAAAGTACATAGTTTAAAACAAAATATACCTCACATATTGAAGGATTGCCTTTGAACAAATATTTTTTATTTATTTATTTGAGAGAGCGAGAGAAAGCAGAGCAAGCAAGAGAGAATATGAGTGATGGGAGAGGGCAGAGGGAGAAGCAGACTCCCAGGGGCTTAATCCCAGGACCCTGGAATCATGACCTGAGCTGAAGGCAGACACCCACTCAACTAAGCCACCCAGGCACCCCTGAACAAATATTTAAACTTATTTATATACAGTATTATAACCTTTAGTTCCTCATACAAAGATTCCAGCATTTAGTATTCCTGGTATATAGTCATTCTGGAGAACGGTACATGTGAGAGACAGCTCAGTTGCAAATCATCCATTCTATCTTAGGCCTCTGTCCTTGTGATTTTGGAGCTCATCTTTGAAAATGTTTTTTTCTTCTGTCTACATCAACTCAGTAGGTATGCCATGTCTGCCTTGGTAGCAGTCAGGCCCTCCACAGTGAGTATCTATACTCCTAATGGCCTACATTTTAAGTCAAACCATCCCAAACAAACCTTCCAAACTTGATTAGTCCATTTTTTCCAGCTATTTTTAAATAATGTGATAACAGGCAAACCAAACCTTCATTTTTTATCACAGGATTTATTACCGTTTCTGTGCAAAATCTATAGAAATGTATCAAGTTGGGTTTTTTAAAAAGAATATTCGAAGAAAATACTTAAGGATTAGCTCCTTTTTGTTCGTTTGTCTACAAAGTAAGTACAGAGGCTTGAAAAGCACCAACCAATTTAATTCACCATTTCAGAAACAGTGTATCTGTAGTATAGTGGATAAGAACACTTGATTTTGTAGTCAGATCAACTCAAATCCTGATTTCATCACTTACCACCTGTGTGGCCTTAGGGAAGTTGCTTAATCTTCCTCTGCTTCACTTTCCTCATTGATAAAATGTCCTTAATTATAGTACTAACTCCATATGTTGCTATGAGGATTAAATGAGTTAGTACTTGTAAAGTGTTTAAAATCAGGTACCTTGCATAGTAATCGCTATAAATATAATATAAATATATATAATACAAATATGCAAATATCAGGAAAGAAAGAACTATTAAAAGATTGTGTAATTGCCCTAAGTTTTCTTGAATTATAAAATAAAAACAAAAAGCCAGAATTCATGATTCTGTGGTTATGGGTTTCTTCTTATTTTTTTTTCTTACTCTTTAATTTGACCTCATAACACAATCTAGTGAACGGTAAGCTACCTCAAAGTTTCAAAAAGGGTACATAAATAAGTTGTAGATAACTTGAGATTACAAAAACAGAAATTAAAACATATTTTTTTAAAACATTTATTTGAGAGAGCAAGAGAGCAAGAGTGTGCACACCCACATGCATGCACTAGCAGAGTAGGGGCAGAGGAAGAGGGAGAAGGAGATTCAGATTTCCCACTGAGCGTAGAGGTCATTCTATTCCAGGATCTGAGCCAAAGTCAGATGCTTAACCAACTGAGCCACCCAGGTGCCCCCAAATTAAAACATTTTAATAGAATTTTTCAAGTATCAAACTGTTAAAGATTAGCAAGTTGATAAGATCCTATGTTAGCCAGAGTGGAGAAGCAGGAACTCTTATTACCTGTGATTGCGAGGAGTATAGATTGATATAACCTTATTGGATCTGAAACTGGGAATGTTTAACAAAATTGTAAATAAATGCTTTGATGCAAAAATTCCACTTCTAGATAAGAATTTATCCTACAGATAACTTACACAAGAGCACAAAGATGGACGTTTAAGGTTATTTATTTTAGCATTGGTTATAATTGTAAAAAATAGAAAACATGTAGAAGATTGTTGAAATAAACTATCAATATGATTAAATAGTGCAGTGGTTAAGATCATGGAGTCCAGAGCCACACTGCCTGGATTCACATCCAGAGTCCATCACTTACCAGCATTGTGAGCTCAGACATGTTTATTTAACTTCTCTGTGTATCAGTTTCTTCATCTATAAAATGGGCATAAAAGTATCTACCTAATAGGGTTGTTGTGAGTTAACACACCTAAAGCACTTAGAACAACTTGTGGCACATGATATTATGTATATATTTCATATTCTTATTATTCATTCAATGACATATAATATAACTGATAGAATGCAGTAGATCTGTATATACTGACATGTATGTAGCCTTCAGTACTATATACCTTGTTTTGTCATTATCAGCTGTTACTTTCATTCATTCATTTAAAGAGCGAGTTATTTATTTATTTATTTATTTATTTAGAGTGCATGTGGGGTTGGGGAGCAGAAGGTGAGGGAGAGAGAATCTCAAGCAGATTCTACACAGAGCACAGAGCCTGACGCGGGGCCAAAATAAAAAACTTAATTAAAATTGATTGAGTTGGCCTAAATAAAATTAGCAGAACATTTCATATCCCTTTTAGTTCCTTTTCATCATGGAATCTTTAAGTAATTATGGCTTTATAAAGAAATTGCTTCACCCTGCACTCTTTACTACAAATATTACCAGAGACGACTCCTAACAGGTGGTGCTTGTAGGCATTTCTTTCTTTCTTTATAGCTTAGGATTGCTCCTGGAAATCTTTTAGATCCAGTAGCCATGTGCTAAATTCCGTGGTGCAGCTAAGGAACATAGGAATGAATAAGACATAGTTTCTCCTCTCACTGAACTGGCTTTCCTTAACAGTGAGGCTTTAGTAATGACAGCTTCTGATGTTGCCTGACTATTTCTCAGCTTGAATTTTTGGATACTACTTAATGTACTTTCAAAACTTCTTAATAAGGAAAAATGCTATGCCACATATCTGAGCTTTTATATCTGCATATATAAATACGTATATATGAACATCTAGAGCTAGCAATAGGAAGATATGAGACAATGAATATGCCAAAAGTGACCATTTTTCAGATATTTGAATGAGACAGCCATGTAGTCATGTAATTTAAGCATTATATATATTTTTAAAGATTTTATTTATGTATTTGTTTGAGAGAGAGCATGAGAGCAGGGGGAGAAAAGGGAAAGGGAGAGGGAGAGAATCTGAAGCAAACTCTGCAGTGAGCACGGAGCCTGTTGAGGGGCTCGATCTCACAACCACAAGGTTGTGACCTGAGCCGAAACCAAGAGTTGGCAGCTTAACTGATTAAGCCACCATGGCGCCCTTAATGCCATTATATTTTTTAGTGTTCCAAAGTTGGTAATCTCTGCTCTTTTCTATATCCTCCTGTCTTTTTCTTACAATCATAATACAGTATTAAGTATAATTTTGTTAGGTTTATATAAATATCCAAGTAAAAGATTTTTATTTGCTTAAATTTTATTTCTTTTTTTAAAAAATTTATGTACTTATTTGAGAGAGAGAAAGCCAGGGCAGGCAGGGGCAGAGGAAGAAGGAGAAGCAGACTCCACGCTGAGCAGGGAGCCCAATTCAGGGCTTATCCCAGGACCAGGACCCCAGGATTATGACTCAAGCTGAAGGCAGAGGCTTAACCGACTCAGCACCCAGGTGCCCACCCAAGTAAAAAATTTTTTAAGTAGTCAAATTTTGTCAAAAAGGAAAAACTAAATATAAAATTATATAAATATAAAATTATATGGAATGTCAATGGAAAAATATTTTTCCAAACTAAATGGCATATCACATAAACCTGACTTTTTTCCAAATAAAGTTTAGTTTAGTTTCTCCAAACTAAATGACATATGACATAAACCTGACTTTTTTTTTTTTTTTTTTTAAGGTTTCTTTGGGAGTATATTTGGATTAATGGGTGTATACATTTATGATGGAGAATTGGTGTCAAAGAATGGATTTTTTCAGGGATATAACCGACTGACTTGGATAGTTGTTATTCTTCAGGTAAAGCATTTAAAGTCATATTTAGTGCTAATAAACTTTTTTTTAATGTAGATAATCAGAGTAGCTCCTGATGTACAATGTGAGGGAAAGAGATCCCTCCTGTTGGGTGTTCTCATTATATCAAGCTTATTCAGGGAAGTTAAAATAGAACTGGTCTTAATGCAATAATGAAAACACTTTGAAAAGGTCATAAATAACTTTATGGTATTTAAATTTGACATAATTAAAATCAAGTTTAAGAATAAAAGAGTTCAAGCTGAAAGCAAATATAACTTTTGATTTGTTTTACAATTCTTATATAGGAAGTCTGTGATCAGTGCATTAAGGCTCAAAAGCAGATCTAGATATTTAAATCTGCCTTACATTGTAGTTACATATTAAAATATTCCTGTCAAATTATCTCCGTTTATAATTTGAAATTGGTCAAGGGTTGAGTAATTTCATCATCAAAAATATACTTGATTACTCTGGCGGATATAAAAGTGAAGATGCAAGTCACTGCCCTCACAAACCCTTTCTTTGGAGGTATTTGAAGCTGTAAGAAGCAAGGCCTGTTACAGAAGGTGGGTGTGGATAGCAAAGGATAGTTGTGTTTTGAAAGCAGGAAGGATACTTCTATTTTTAAGATAAAAGGAGACAAGGGTAAGTGAAAATTCAGAGGAAATTTGAAGTAGAGATAGGGTAAATCAAGAGAGTTTGTATGATAGCTTTTATTCTAGCAGAGGAAAGCCCTCTTCCTGTAAGACTTGAGCAAGATAAAGGAGGTTTGGTATAGTCGATATGAGGGATTCATCGTGGACTAAATAGATGAACACGCACATTGCCAGGAGGTAATAGGACATCAGTTTGCAGTGAGCTCAGTTGGCATAGTTTGTGACTTTGACTAATAAGCTTCTGTCATGTGCAGAGGTACAGTAAAAGTTCTTAACATGGGTAATCCAGATTTAGGATGTGTAAGTAGAGTTTGGCAGAAAACAAAACTGTATAATGTGGTAAAACCTCATTATTTAAGTAGGCACAGTGTGGACTTTGAGAGAGATTTGGTAGAAAGTTCAGAAGAATAATCTGACAGCAATAAAAAGTAGGTTGAATGGTGAGAAGCTGGGGGAAGAAAGCCAAGTAAAAAAAAATTCAAGTTACACTTTATTTTTACTTCAAAAATAAAAACATTTCATGGATCTGAGTGACCAGTCTTTCCACATTTGTCTGAACAAGTGATGTTTAATTACTAAATTGGTTGAGGATAGATGTTTTATTCACAGTACAAACTATATTATGACAAACTGCAGGTTACTGTGGTAGTTACTTCATCAGATCACTTTTGAAATAAAAGGGCTGTTGAACGAAACCTGGAAGTCTGTTGGTTATAGGATATATTTAATAAAAATCAGTTATTATAGTGGGATTAAATTTATAGGACAAAAGCTTAAAGCTTCATTGAATAATGAGATTGTTTTGAAAGGCAGTTTTATATATGTTTGTTTAAAATAATCTTTTAAAATTTTTGCAGGCACTTGGAGGCCTTGTAATAGCTGCTGTTATTAAATACGCAGATAATATTTTAAAAGGATTTGCAACCTCTTTATCCATAATACTATCAACACTGATATCCTATTTTTGGCTACAAGATTTTGTGCCAACCAGGTAATGTATTCTTTTCTATTTCTTTAAGTATCCAAAATATGTGGAAAAATAAGAATTCTTAATAAGATCTGGTATGAAAAATTTTATTTTATTATAACTTTTGAAGAATCAAGGAAATATAGTAAAAAATCATTTAGCTGTCTTTTTTTTAGTTTTAAAAAATTATTTAAATTCTATTTAGTTAAGATATAGTGTATTATTAGTTTCAGGGGAAGAATTTAGTGATTCTTCAGTTGCATATAATATCTGCTGCTCATTACCTCATGTACCCTTCTTAATGCCCGAGACCCAGTTACCCTGTCCGCTACCCACCTCCCACCAGCAACCTCAGTTTGTTTTCCAGGGTTAAGAGTCTCTATGGTTCACCTCCCTCTCTGTTTTATCTTTTTTAAAAAAGCATTTTTTTAAATTTAAATTCAGTTAATTAACATGCAGTGTATTGATTTTAGAGGTATAGGCCTGTGATTCATCAGTCTTATATAATACCCAGTGGTGATTACATCACATGTCCTCCTTAATGTCCATCACCCAGTTACCCCCATATCTCTACTGCCTCCCCTCCAGCAACTCTCTGTTTCCCAGCATTTAATTGTCTTTTATTTTATTTTTTTTTAAGATTTTATTTATTTATTTGACAGAGAGAAAGACTGCAAGAGAGGGAACACAAGCACAGGGAGTGGGAGAGGGAGAAGCAGGCTTCCCGCCGAGCAGGAAGCCCAATGCAGGGCTCAATCCCAGGACGCTGGGATCATGACCTGAGCCAAAGGCAGATGCTTAACAACTGAGCCACCCAGGTGCTCCTTAATTGTCTTTAAAAAAAAGGTTTCAAACTAACTACATAGAAGAAAATATTCCACTAGTAAGTTTTTTGTACAAATTTAACTAGCCAGAATTTTCCCAATAGACTGGAAAATTTTTTCAAACTTTTCCCCCAAAGTAAAATGTCATATAAAAAGTTCAATAAATCATATAGTGGCATTTTCATGTGTGGAATTGATATAGGTAAAGCCAGGAGAGTAGATGACATTCTTGAAGAGAATAGTTTATGTAGAGAATGTGCAGGAGAAAACACTTTTAGGTGGTGGCAGAAGAGTGGCTGGGAAGAGAATTACAAAAGGAATGATGGGTGAGGCAGGAGACCCAGGATGTGTAGTGTCATCGATGCCAAGGGAGGAAACAGAGTCAGGAAGAATGAAGTGTGATTAATACCCATTATAGCTGGTACTGAAAGTCCTATTATTTTTTTATAATTATTAATTTATAATCCCAGAGTAATGAGATTATATTTTAGTGGATTCCAGGCTACTAGTCTTGGTTTTCGTCAACTTCACTCCCCTCCTCATCTTCTTAACTTCTAAACTTTGGAGTCTCTGAAGGATCTGTCCTTGAACCTCTTATTTGTACTCACTCCCTTAGGTGATCTCTATTCTCAAGGATGATAACCTTCCCTTTCCTTTCCTTTCCTTCTTTCTCTTCTCTTCGCTTTGCTTCGCTTCTCTTTGCTTCTCTTCCCTTCTCTTCTCCTTTCCTTTCCTTTTCTTTCTTTCCTTTCCTTTTCTTTCTCTCTACTTTCACATTTTACTTTGAATTCCAGGCTTGTATATTTAATTGCCTATTTGACATTTTCACTTGAATGTCGACTACATAATTCATTCCCTAACCCTATAAGGGTTTCCCAATTTAGTAAATGGCAGCACCTTCCTTCTCCAGTTGCTTAGGCTAAAATTCTCCTTGACTTAAACAGGAACAGTTTATCCACAGTAACCTAAGAGAAGGCCTATAGATATGTAGACAGACTTAGAAAGTTAAAATATATGGAAGTTCTTTATCTTCTGAGTGAAATAGGAAGTAAGGTTATCAACTTCTCTTTACCTTTCTCTCATACATCATTCCAATCTAGAAATAAAGCCTGTCACCTCTTCCTTTTTAATATCTCCAGAGTCAACCATTTCTCACAACTTCCATTGCTACCCCCCTGGTCCAAGGCATACTCATTTATCACCTGGATTAAGGAAATAGTCTCTTGATTTATCTCATTGCTTTGTCTCTTGCTCTGTGCCCCTACAATGTTCTCCATTCAGCAAACTATTTTCAACGTAAATTAGATCATATCACCACTCTGCTCATCACTCTGTTACCTAAAAGTTGTAATTATTAATGGCCTATTTGATATGGCCCTCAACTACGCACCTGTCTTCATCTGATATTACTTTCCTTCTGTTTCCTTCCTTCCCTCCCTCCCTCTTTTTCTTTCTTCTTTCCTTCCTTCCTCCCTCCCTCCCCTCCCCCATCTGTCTATCTACAGCAACCTCTTTGCTACAGGCTTTGACTTGCCCTTCAGTCATCTTGGAATACTCATCCCCTGTGTATTCACATGACAAACTCCCTCACATCCTCAGGTCTTGGCTCAAATTTACTGTATCAGAAGACCTCCCTAAATAAAAGCACCCCCCTCCATTCTAACATTCTTTCCTCCTTTCTTCAGAAGATTTATTACCATCTTATAAGTCAGCAAGGCCTAAGCTTGGCCTATAATAGGCACTCTATTTGAATGAATATTCAAGTCCTTAAAATTTTAATACAGCTAGTAATATTTATTTGTGTTACTGAGAGTGAGATAGGATTATAGATGGAATGTGGCAGTAGAAAAACATAATATGCTCTTTATGTTTCTATATTAAACATTTGTGGTTTCATTCTTCTAGCAACCTGGGTAATATAGGTCTGGGACACACATGTTGGAATGTTTAATTTCTCTGAGGCATGGATTTAAAAGTATTTCTATTTCTAGTTTGGTATGGGAATGAACTACCTAGCTAGTGAGACTAGCCTAACAACTAGGATATATATTTTAATGATGCTTTAGCCTCTATTCATTAAATGAGGAAATTGTGCACTAATGTATTATTTGAGTAAGTTGGGAACTTTAAATTATTTTAGATGTTTTGGAATCTAGATTTTTAGGGTACATTTAAAAAGGCATACCTTTAAAAAAATAACACCTCATATAAAGCTGACTCAGGATGGTAACTTTAAATCTTTGAGTCATGTAGGGAATAAACAATAAACAAGTAAATGAACAGGTAAATCAGTAGAAGGGCAAAAGAATAGTAGTTTGTCAATAAAATTTATATCTGCATGTAAATCCATGTTTCTAAGGGACTATGTAGGGTATGTTGGGATGAAGATAAAAAGGGAAAAGATAATGAGTTTGTTATTATTGAATGAATGAATGTTTTGACACTGAGTCAGATGAAGAAGATGGATTATTTTTCCTATAACTAGACTCTCTATCTTTATATATTCTTATTTTTGTGAAGAACATCTCTTAAGTAATAAATCCAATGACCCCTATTCCAAATGTATTAATGTATTTTCCTTTGTTATCCCCGTTTCACTTCCTAAAACTGTTTAGGTTTTGTTTGTTGTTTTCTCAGAGGTGGTTCCCCTGTACTTGCCTTTCTGACTGCTCCTTTAGTAACCTATCAATCCTTACTCACTCTCTCATTCATCTCATTCACTGCCATGTCTTGTCTGTCCTCTCTGTGAAGATAAGTCCCAACTTAACTTCAACTCTAGATTCCTATTTTCAGCTGACTGCTAAACACCTCTATTAATATATCACCAGTATTCCTTTTCCTAACTTATTTTTCTTGTGTTGATTATTTTGCTTATTGGTATCAATCATCCTTGCATTTAGGCTTGTTTATTCTTCTATCAAAAATTTATTAAATGTCCACTATGTGCCTTCCTTTCACTGTACCAGATCCTGGAGAAACAGGAATGTATGAATGAGATATGATTTCATCTCTTCAAAGAGATAACAATGATTAGAGAGATAGACATGTGAATAAATGAGAATTTTATGATCAGTGCAGCAATGAAGCATATATATGCAATTCTGTTGGAAATCAGGTGCCCAAATCCTTGAAATAATCATTGTATTCTGATAGTTTTTCCCCAACAAAATTTTTTTTCCTCAGAACCATGTAAAAATAGCTATCTTGACAAGCGGGGGTTTCATGACATTATTAGGTATTCTAGTAGATCCTGTTAGAAATTTCATAAAATGGATTCCTGCAGTGGGTACAGAATTGGATCAGACAGCTTTTCAGTTGAGCATGTGATTCTGTGTAATTCCAGAGGTCCAGAAAGCTAGGCAAAGGTCAGAATGCCTGACAGAGGAAGTTTTCAGTCAGAAGCTTGTCCAAAGCCTAATTATGAAATATTCCTATGGTACTAATTTTCTTCAAGAGGTATTGTAGAAAGGTTTATGTTGTCATAATCTTACATGTGTACCTGCATTAGAGGCTTTTGAAAAGTTACCCATTTACATCAAACCAACAGCAGATAATTTATCACAGCAGATAATTATTGAGCTCCCTCTATATCCTAGGCACTTGGGATATAATGATGAATGAGGAGCACATGGTTAAGCAGGCGTGCAGACATGTCAATAATGTGTCATTTAATAACGTGTAATAAATGTTATCATAGAGTACCTCCACCTAGGGGACATTAGATGTGAGTTATGAATAATCATTTTCTTGGGAGAAAGGACATTGCAAGCAGAGGGAGGGAGTAGCATCTAAAAGGACACTGTCCTGAAAGGCACACTGTTTCACTGAATGGAATGGCTGAACTATAGATTGGGTGGGTGGAATATGGGAGATGAGGTCAGGGGGACCACATTAGGAAGGGGCCCTTTATGTCATAGTAAGGGTTGTGATCTTCTTCCTTTATAGAACAAATGTTTATTATTGTAAAACTCAAGAGAGTGACTTTGAACTATTAATAGAAACTTTAAAACCAAGACTAACTCATGTCCCTGTAATAGTACTTTGAAGAATTTACATCTTAAAAGTTAAATTCGTATTCACTTTATCTCCACTTTAAGTTCCAGTACCAGTTTAAGTTCATTTATAGTTTATAATAAGGTATATTATATCTCTGGATAGATAAAATAAAGAATAAACCAAGTCTACCTGCATTTAATCGAATTTCCTTTTGTAAAGCATCCTGTGAAGTTGGTCCTGAATTTTGCTTATTAGTACCTTGGATTTTAAACTGAACTTTACTAAAAAAACAAACAAAAAGCTGAACTTTACTTTGGTCTCAAAAGAATGCCATTTTCTGTTTATATTTTCAAATATTTAAAAGTTGAGATCTTTTATTATTCAATGTATTACAGGCAAAAGACATATTAAGGGGAAATACATTTAAAACATCTTTGCTTTGGGAGCCAATACAGTGCAGTGGATGAAAGTAGGGTTCTAGAGTCAAGCATACCTAGATTTGAGTCTTGTCTTCCACTTAAAGTTGACTTTAAGCAAGTTACTTAAAGTCTCTAACCCTCAGTTTCCTCATATATAAAAAAAATGAGGTTAATACTAATACTTCTTCATAAGGTGGTTATAAGAATTAAATGAGATGCATAGAAAACACTTGGCTTGAATACCTAAAATGTATTAAGTACTTAGTATTTGTTAGCCTTATTACTGGAACATTTTTTTCCCAAGTTAAAATTGTTTTTATAAGAGAAGAAATAGAAGTTGTTTTGCTTTTAATCTGATTATCTCTTTTTCATTTTTTCTTCATCTATTTAGTGTCTTTTTCCTTGGAGCCATCCTTGTAATAACAGCTACTTTCCTATATGGTTATGATCCCAAACCTACAGGCAATCCTACTAAAGCATAGTCATATACTATCTTTAACTGATTTTTCACAATGGTGCACTAGGAATCTCAACATTAATCTTGCATAGAGGACTTCTACAGACTCTCAGAAGATATCGTCATGCTGAATCTCATTGTATTGTTCAAATGATTTGAAAATATAAAAGTTTAAGGATAAAATGTGTATATGTTAATGAAATAGCTATTACATCTAGAAATCAAAGCTTGAAAGTATTTCCAGCTATTAGAATAATTATTGGAGAAAACTTGAAATCTGAGTTTAAAAAGATTTTACCTTTTGATTGCTGCAGAAATGTCCTATGCACTCTTTGCAAGAGCACACAACAAATGTCAGATACAATTTTTGCAAATGAGATCTATTTAATCTTATTAAATGTTTTTTATCTTTTCTGTATAGAAATATCAAATCACATGGAATATTCAAAGTTTGAAAATTATAATTATAATTGCTTATAAAGCTGTGAAGAAACAGAAGTATGATTTGAAAAACATTTTAATGTATCTGAGATTTTTATATTTATATACTAAAGAAAAGATTGCTAAATGTCATTTGTTCAACTACATAAAAATTGATAAAGTTATGTCCTGGGTCTAATTTATGAGAGAATAAAATTCATACTTAAATTTAATGTAGGGAAATACACACATCTATTTCTCCATCTACATTTTAAGATCCGTTTAGTGCTTTGAAACTGCTGAAAGCAATCCAGTTGCTCCTGTGCTAGATTGTAGCCTGAGAATTTTGCACTAATTGAGTTTTGTTCTTAATCTCTTAATTGTGTTTCTTTTCTGTAAATCAGATAAATCCTTAATATTTCTTTAAATTAAATTGCTGTATGTGGTAATTTCCATTAAAGTTTCAAAATGAATTTAAAAGGATTAAATACTCATTTAATAATTGAAAATAATTATTATTATCTATTATCTCCACTTGGAGAATTTTGAACTATCAAAGCGTATACTGTACACAACTAAAATGTTTTTAAATGAATATTGTAGTCATTGATCTGTAAAAATTCCTTTAATCTACAGCTGTTAAAAACAACCACCAAAATAATAATAGTATAGATATCAATGAATTGAGACCAAAATGACCTTTCTTAGAGACATTCCAGATTGCCATAATATTATATTATTTTAAATGGCACTATAGCTATAAACTCAAGGCTGCTCAGAAAAACTTTTTAGGCCTTTCATAAACCCACCATCCCCAGGAATACTCTGGTCACATGTCTAGGAGACGTAGCAAATTCTGAGTTCCCTTTCTGTGGCCCTGTAGAAGCTGCTGGGAAGGAGCCACCACTTAGATTTAAGATAGTGGTTTCTTTTCCGTTTTGATTAGCACTGGAGTTGAGGTTATAAATTACATGAGTTATTTAATAAGTTGGTTCAAGAGGGAGAGAAAATATAGCAAAAATGGTAAAGTGAATTGGTGGGCAAGAATACGGAATATGGATGTAATTTAATTATTGACTATAGATAGAATTACCTATATTGTATAAGAAGTATTTTACTTTATTTTTTCATTTATGCTTATAAATTTTTAAGTCTCCCATTCTAATAGTATAAAAACTAAAAAAAATAACTATTTTTATATTGTTATAGTGGATTTTGTTAAATAGAATTTGGCTCAAAAATACCGTGTTACAAATTTTGGGGTACTTTGGCTTATTAGGACTGGCTGTGTTTCTTTGCTTTATGCAAACCACATCTCTATAAGACACAGGTCTAATCTATTCCATTCAGAGTCTAAAAGTGATTAAAATTACAAAATATCTTAAATCAATTAGCTGGTGATTCCAAATTGGAACTAACTAAACTTTCTGGAAGCCTGACCTATGATTTTCAGTGACCATCTTTTAGAGTATTTGTTAATAACTTCACCACATTCTGAGCATTGTGTTTTTAGATCTTAACAGCATTCAGACTCACATCTTACTATCTACTTCTGAGTGAAATCTAAGTCCTGCAAATGCAAAGAATTCAAGAGGATATATAAAGATTTATGTTCAGCCTGCATGGAAGTACTAGTTGGGTACTAGTATATATTAATTCAGTGTACATTTACATAGGCTGAGTGTACCTTCAAAAAATGATAAAATCAAATAATTGGATATTAGACATGTTAGTTACCATATTTTCCAGTGTCCAAAATAATATAATTTTAAGATTCCCAATAAAGCTTTTAAAAATATAATTAAGAGTTGTGAGAAAAGATGAAGTGATCTAAAGCCTATTTTTAAACCAACTTTTATTAGACAAGTTTAATTTATATTTTGCTTTTCTAGTAGGCTTAAAGATGTTATTAGAGATTGGGTTGTGTAGCTTATAATTTTTAATTCATAGAGAAAGAATTGGATTTGAGAAGGGGGGCCTATATCCTAGACCATGTTATTTACTCAAATAATGCCATTTTCGTATGTGTGTGTGGTGTGTTTTGATGACCTTCAAAAGCCTTATTGTATCAATCAATCTTGACTATTTAAATTCTTACTTTTTAAAGTTTACTTGTTATCTCTCAACTACTTTGTTCACTATATTCATGGGAGAAGAGTGCCAGTTGATAGTTCTATTAAAAATTAAGAATTAAGTATTTGGGAAGAAAAGTTTAAAATTCAATATGTAGGTGTTTCAACATGGTAATATTACCACTTCTTTAATAAGTGTTCTTAGGGAAGTTGGAGGCTAGTTTTATGGTAGAAACTATAGTTTAGAGATGCAAAACTTCAATGTTTACATCAGTTTATATTGAATGTCACAATTTCACAGAAGGGAAGGTAGTTTGATATTTAAACTAGATTCTAAGGAGACAGAATCTAAAAAGAAACTAATTGACTTTGTGCCCAGTAGATGTAGTGTAATATTGATTATTCTTAAATATTGGTACACTTTTCCTACATATCAAATTATTGAACTTTTAAAATGTCATTGTATCGTCATTCAACTGAGTTTTGTTTTGTTTTTAAAAATAAGGGTTAGCATCGCTTATTTTATCTACACTTTCATTGTTATATTTAATTACACATGGATGTATGCTTTACATAAGAAAAGACTTATAAGTTATTTATGCTATATTGAAAGTCATCTTAAGAATCTCCCAGATATGTAGCATATTTAAAGTAATTACAGGACCAAAGAAAAAGCACCTTTATCAAAATCTGGTCCTATGTGCCTTGCTTTACCAAATACCTGACTTTTCTGAAAGATATTACTGTAATTCACTACTTTGGACACATGGGGAAATTGACGTTTTATGAATAACTATAATTCAATTTTTTGGATGTTTCAACATTTGCTCTTTAAATCCATTATCTAACAGAATATTAAATTAGTATACTGTATAAACATTAGTAAACAGTATTTATTTAAATAAATTATGCACCATTGCTCCATCATTGAGCTTTTGAAATTTTAACAAGTGTATATATATGGCTGTTATTTGGTTGTTTTATTTCTTATTATGAGATATAATTTACTGTGATTTTTAAAATATTTTTTAATGATTTGAATTCTGAATTTGTTTATATGTCTATGTATTTTATTTGTTTAGAAAGATTCCTTTGAGTTTGGGAATGTGATTTGTATATTTAAATTTTTTATGGACATAATTTAGAGGAATGTATAAATTGGTCTTTTGTTAAATGGCTTTTTAATGGATCAATTTGTCTCTGTCATTTTTTGGTATCCAGTTATTATCTATTTAGTAGATTTATGAAAAAGATTTTCATAATTAACCACTTAAATTTCTTCCTATATTTCCTTGTTTCCCTTTTCACCTGTGTTTGACTTAACTGAATTAGAGTCCTTTCTATATATCAGAAATGACTCCCTGATCTTTCTGTATCTCTCCAGTTACCTTTATCATGTGTGATGTTCCTTCCTTTTTCCTAGCCTATGCTCTAGCATGGAAGACTGGGTTTTATTTAGACTAGTTAGAACCTCTCTCTCTGTGTGATAATAGCCTAATTTTTTGTTGTTGTTGTTTTAAATAAATTATCTTTTTGCTAGCCTCAAGGTTAAGTAATTACAGTAATTGGTATATATTTTCTTCATAAATCATTGAATATAATTGCTTCTACTGTGACTATCAATTCAGTGCATAGAGATCAAATGATAAGCAATACAAAGGATTTCATTTCCACGCCTATTAGTGAAATAACCTTGTACGAAGTGCTTTGTTTTAAAAGGTCACTAAAAAGTATCAGCATTTATTTATTTCAGCAAATCAGCATTTTAAAAGTAGATACTTTGGTTTCTTCTTGTGAAAATAATTAACTGAAAATCTTTACATCTTTTTGGAATTGGAATACTTTTGTTGGAAGTATATCACAGTCCTTGAATCCCAGTCCTATGCAACCTCATACTTACACCTCATAATTCAAATCTTATACATAATTACTGCCATTCAGCAGAGTCAGATAGTGACCAGCATTAGTAAATGGTCTTTCTTACCATTCTTAAAAGTTTTGGATTCCCTCAAAGCAGGATTATTACATACATATTCCAGAAAAGAAAATAGCAAAGAGGAAATAACTTGCATTCAGACCCCAAAGATGTCAAATACTACTATAGTAGAGTGTGTCTTGGTGACTGCAAATTCATGGGTTTCCCAAATCTACCTGCAGGTTCAATAATTCACTAGAAAGACAGAACTTAATGAAAGCTATTACACTCTCATCATGTTTATTATCAAGAAGGGATGCAAATTTGAATCAGCCAAAGGAAGAGGCATATAGGGTAGAATCTAGGAGTCCAAATTCCAGTTTTCCTTTCCAGTTATCTACTCCCTGTGGGGTCCTGGACAGTGTTATTTATTCCCGGCCACAGTATACATACAGTATTGCCAATCAGGAAAGCTCACTCATGCTGTGGTGTCCAAATTTTTATTCACGTTTTATTTCTTGGCCTGATTGATTCTTTGCCCATATGGTTGAGAACTTTCCAGCCCTGCCCCTCCCTGGAAAACTGGCTGACATCGAGTTATAGGGGTTCATCCTGAGTCATCTTGTTAGCATAAATTATCAGGTATGAGGTCCTAAAGATGCAGGTCAGAACTTTCTTTAGGTAAAGCCAAATTCCTTATTACAAAGTGATCATTTGTGTCTATACACATTCTTCTGAATTGATGATGACAACAAGCAATGACAGTTCTTTATAGAGACTTTTATACTTTATGATTTTAATTTCAAAAGTATTGGCAAATGATTCTGAACATATGACTTGAGGGTAGAAAAACATTTATAATCAGATATAGTGCTACGTAGCACATGTAGTATTCATTTAGTTTTCAGTTCTGATGTTAAATGACTTTATAAATGCTGAATTATTTTTAAAGAACAATAAATTATATTGTATATTAACATACAATTTTAAGCTTATTTCTTATTTATTCATTTTTTGCCATTTGAAGATTATAACATGAACGCTTCTTTGGAGGGACTTCTTGATTTTACTGATACTTTTTAAAAAGTCTGTTACATGGTAATACAGTATTTTATTTAGTCTGTCATTAATAACAAATACTTGAGAATATTTATAATATTAATGGAATTTAATCTAAAAGAAGTTCAACTTGCTTTTTTTGACATTTCGGTACTGGGTATACATAAGAACAGTTATGGTCAAAATTATTACGTCAAAAATATAATAAATGCTTGGTGTTAGTCTATATAGAATTCAGTTTTCGGCATAAAGTTCTTTGGCTGTAAGAACGTTTGGTTTCCTTCACTAATAGGAATATGTCTTAATGCTGGTATGGCCTTTTCTTAGTATTTCCTCTGTACTTGATTTTTAGTATAGTTATCTATGATTGTTATGAGTGGAGTTGAATGAAGATAGTCATCATGTTTATTCCAAATGAGGATACGTAACCAATTACTATAGTAATGATCAGGTAGGTGGGCAGTGCAACTGTCCAATATTTTTGAGACCAGTAGATTAAGCCCAAGGAATTTAGCCAAGATTCAGGAATAAAAGCCTACAAGATAAGAACTATGAAGCGAAAATGAGAGCTTATGTAAAAAACAAAGCCATAAATAACTCTGGCAGTGGTGGTGATGAATTTTCCAGTAGCTTCCCTGTAGCTTTAGACAGTCTTGGGTCCTTCATTCACACTCAGGCCCCTCTTGGCAGTTCAGCCTCTTTAGCAGCAAGTAAATTATAAGCTAACTTTAAATTACCGTTAACCATCACTATTATAATAAAAGGTTAACAGAATAAAACTGATAACAGTTGTTCCTTTGGTTGACTGTAGGGCTTCACTGTTAATCGATAGGTCCACATTTCCAGTAATCCTTTGCTAGGGTTAAGCATCAGCCCTTGATTGGATCGAAGCAATATTTCATTTATGAATTCATTTGCATTTATTCATTTAGGATTTCTAATATGTAAAAATAACTTATTTAAGACAAGTAACATATTATTCCTTAGGAACTCGTTTACCAGACAAATACACTTTCATCCTTTTTTAAGTACACCTCACTGTGTTTGGGAGTAATCATCTGAAAATATACTCTTGTTAAAATGTGCTTGACGGGCTCTCTGCTCAGCAGGGAGCCTGCTTCCCTTCCTCTCTCTCTGCCTGCCTCTCTGCCTAC